ATGAGGTCTTGCTGCCCTGGCGGGTCTCGAACCCACGGGCTCAGGCAATCCACTCACCTCAGCCTCCCAAAGGTGCGGGATTACAGGCTGAGCCACCGAGCCCGGCTCATTTTCATTTTTTATAATTATTTTCTATTTTAAATACATGGGGTACAATTCAGGGTTAGATATATAAATGTTCAATATGCTTGTTGATGAGGTGTGCCCCCCTCCTCTGGCAGTTTCCTTCAACTGCCAATCCTCCCACCCCGGCAGTTTCCCACAACTGTCCATCCCTTTCTTACAGTATCACGATAGTTGTTCAAGGTCTGCATATGAGTGAGAACATGTGACACTCAGTTCTTTGTGTCTGTGATAGTCACTCAGTATTCTAGCCATGCAGGGTATCTTAAATCAGGAGGCTGGATGAGATAAAGAGGACCAGAGGCCAGGCCTGGGGCCTCCGGTGTTTAGGTTGAGGCAGGGAGGAGAAGCCAGCCCTGGAGCCCAGGCAGGAGATGCCTGCGAGGTGGAGGACACTTGAGAGGATGGCGGCCTGGAAGCAAAGGGGTGACAGCATCTCAGGGACAGTAGAGAAACCAGTGGTGTCAAATGCTGCTGGGGTGCCCAGTGAGAGGGCGGAAACCGATTCTCATATTTAGTATCAGGCTGAGTGCCCTGGCTCAAGCCTGTACTCCCAACAATTTGGGAGGCCGAAGTGAGAGGTTTGCTTGAGCCCAGGAGGTCAAGGCTGCAGTGAGCTATGACCAGGCCACTGCACTCCAGCTTAGGCGACAGAGTGAGACCCCAACTCAAAAAAAAATTTCATGGGGTCACTGGTCACCTTCACCAAAGGGGCTTCTATGAGTGAAAGCCTGGTTGGAGAGGGCACGAGGGAAGACAGAGGCATGAGCCAGGAGGCACGGGCCAAACCTGGATGCACGGGTGCAGGACAGTCTACCGGACCACTGCCCTGGTTCTTCAGACAAATGACTGTCATGGGGGGGGGGGCGGGGAATGGAGATTTAAGTGCCATGGCAACCAAATAAAAACTGTGGCCCTTGCTGGGCTCGGTGGCTCAGCCTGTAATCCCACGCCTTTGGGAGGCTGAGGTGAGTGGATTGCCTGAGTCCGCAGGTTCGAGACCCGCCTGGGCAGTGAGACCTCATCTCTACAATAAATCAAAAAATTAGCCGGGCGTGGTAGTGCGTGCCTGTAATTCCGGCTACTTGGAAGGCTGAGGTGGAAGGATCTCCGGAGCCCAGCAGGCGAGGCTGCGGTGGCCGGGAGCGGCCACTGCACTCCAGTCTGGGCGATAGAGTGAGACTCCAAAAAAAAAAAAAAAAAAAAAACCCTGTGGCCCTTGCCTGGATCCTGATGAAAACAAACTGGAAAATTGGGGGAGGTTGGATACAGGTTGCTGCTGATTAAGTGGTATTAAATCTTATCTGCTAATGCTGTGTCCAGGTGCTCTTTGTGGCATGGAACAAATGTTCTTTTCTTATTTTTTGACGCATTCTGAAGAATTTGGGGGATGCCATGACATGCTCTTTGGTGTGAGCTTTGGAATTTAGGAATAAAGAAGAGGCCAGAGGGATTTGGAGCTTCCACTTTTGTGTGTTTGGAAACTGACATACTAAAATGTTAGAAAAAGAAAGAGAGGATGGGAAGAAAAATATAGACTGCTTGGAGGAGCTAGGCTTCAAAGGACTGTGGCTGGGCCGGGCATGGTAGCTCAGGCCTGTAATCCCAGTGCTTTGGGAGGCTGAGATAAGAGGATTGCTTGGGGCCAGGAGATCAAGACCAGTCTGGGTAGTGAGACCCTGTCTCTCTAAAAAATAAAATAAAAATTAACCAAGTGTGGTGTTGCACACCTATAGTCCCAGCTATGATCATGTCACTTTACTCCAGCCTGGGTAACATAGTGATACTCTGTCTCAAAAAAAGAAAGAAAAAGAGAAAGAATGTGTGTGTGTGAGAGAGAGGAAAGGAAAGAAAAGAGGACCATGGCTGGAGGCAGCTATGGGATCAAGTAGAGAGAGGGAAGGACTGCTGAGGGAATGTCCCTGGGTAGAAGGAAGTGGGCAGGGTGTCCACGGCCCATCGAGAGGAGCTGGCACCAGGTAGGCGTGAGAAGTCAGCTGTCATGTCGGAGGGAGACCCGCAAACACAGCGCAGATGTGCACATGGACACAGGTGTGGCCAGGTGCTTGCAGGTGTTTTCTGATTACTTCCATCTTTCTCAACAACATCAGAAGCAAAGTCACTGACTGAGAATGAAACCAAGCTAGGAGGTTTGGGAGGTGTGAGGAGAGAGGGGAGGGGTTGCCAAAGTCGCCTAAGAGAGCAGCATGGGACAGCAGATGGGCCAGGGGATGACATGGCACCAGGCAGCACTGAGGGCCATTTTAATGGAATCCTGTGTATACATGTTTGTGTGTGCACTGGAACCCACCAAGAGACACGCCAAATATTAGCAGTGACTGCTTTTCGGTTTTTTGGGTTTTCTTGAGTTGGAGTCTCACTCGTCACCCAGGCTGGAGTGCAGTGGCACGATCGTGGCCACTGCAGTCTCGACCTGCTGAGTTTAGGCGATCCTTCCACTTCAGCCTTCCAAGTAGCTGGAAGTACAGACACATGCCACCACTCCCAGCTAGTTTTTTGTGTGTATGTGATTTATTGTAGAGACGAGGTCTCACCAAGTTGCCCAGGCTGGTCTTGAGCGCCCGGGCTCAGACAATCCTCTTGCCTCAGTCTCCCAAAGTGCTGGGATTACAGGCTGAGCCACTGCACCCGGTCGGGTTTTTTTTTTTTTTTTTTTTGCTTTTTGTTTTTGAGTTGGGTCTCATTCTGTTGCCCATGCTGGAATACAGGCAAGATTACGGCCCACTGCAGCCTCAAACTCCTGGGCTCAGGTGATCCTTCTGCCTCAGCCTGCCATGTAGCTGGGACTATAGGCACACGCCATCATACCCAGCTAACTTTCTGATTTATTGTAGAGACAAGGTCTCACGAAGTTGCCCAGGATGGTCTCAAATCCCTGGGATCAGATAATCCTCTCACCTTGGCCTCCAAAATTGCTGGGATTACAGGCATGTGCCACTGTGCCTGGCCCTAGCACTGACTACTTATGGACACAGGAAGGAGGAGGCTAGACGTAATTTATACTGTTTTGTTGTTACTGATTTTTTTTTTGAGTTGGAGTCTCACTCTGTCACCCAGGCTGGAGTGCAGTGGCACACTCACAGCCACCCCAACATCGACCTGCTGGGCTCAGGTAATCCTTCCGCCTCAGCTTTTCAAGTAGCTGGAAGTACAGGCCTCGTCGCCACCGCACTGTCGATATGCTGGGCTCCGGTGATCCTTCTGCCTGTCTTCCAAGAAAGTGGAACTACAGTCACGCGCTACCATGCCAGGCTAATTTTTTGATATGTTGTAGAGACAAGGTCTCACCAAGTTGCCCAGGCTGGTCTCAAAACCCTGGGCTTAGGCAATTCTCTCGCCTTGGCCTCCCAAAGTGCTGGGATTATCGGCTTGAGCAACTGTGCCCAGCCTGAGGTCAATAGTTAAAAAAAAAAAAAAGATAAAAATCTGTTTGAGCAATTCTATCTCTAAGAATTATTCTTGGAGGAAAAGTTGAATAAACATATCCAAAAGTACATGTATAAAGAGGTTTATTGCCGTGGGGTTTAAACTTGTAAAATCTGGGAGTGAGTCTTGTGGGAGATGCTGCCCTGACGCCCTTTAATAGAGGTTAATGGGTCACATGTCACCTCCTCAAGAGACCACCCCGAAGAAGGGAGGCCGTGCAGCGCCTTTGCCTCGTGTGGGGAGAATTCTGTGGAGCACTTCATGCCAAGAGCCCACCGTAGGTTTAGAGGGAACCTGGATGCCCAGACTCCCAGGGCTCACTCTTGAGGTCCCGCCTGAGATGAGCCCCGCGACCCCATGGCAGTTTGGATAGATATAAATGAAACCAACAGTGACCCGCTGGGGCTCAGGGGGCAGAGGTGGTGGGATAAGTCACACCAGGCGAGTTTACTGCTAAACGAAATAAACCAGTTGAAGATCACAGTGTGTGGTATTCGGCCCATGTATGAATGTGTTTATATAAATATACTCATGTATGAACAAGAGAAGAATTTACATAAATATGTTAACAGTGGCTATCTCTAGATGGTTCCAGAAGGAGGAGACTTCCCTTTCAAAGCCATTTGGGCCTCTTTTGTCTGAATTTAAAATTGTTTTCAGTTGACATCAAGTCTACAACAAGTAGATATTTTTAAATGTTGTTAGAACCGGGCACGTTGGCTCAAGCTTGTAATTCCAGCACTTTGGAAGGCGGAGGCGAGAGGATTGCCTAGGTTCAGGGGTTCGAGACCAGTCTGAGCAACATGGCAAGACCTCGTCTCTACAATAAATCCAAAAAAAAAAAATAGCCTGGCATGGTGGCACTGGCCTGTGGTTCCATCTACTTGGAAGGCTGAGGCAGAAGGATCACTTGAGCCCAGTAGGTCGAGGCTGCATTGGCTGTGAGTGTGCTGCTACCCTCCAGCCTGGGCAACACACAAGACTCTGACTCAAAAAAAAAAAAAAGTTGATAGCTTTGCTGGGCATAGTGGCTCACATCTGTAATCCCAGCACGTTGGGAGGCTGAGGTGAGAGAATTGCTTGAGTTCTGGAGGTCAAGACCAGCCCAGGCAACATAGCAATACTTCATCTCTTAAAAAAATAAGCCAAGTGTGGTGGCGCGTGCCTGTAGTTCCAGTACTCACACTTCACTGGGGCAGAAGGATCACCTGAGAAGGCTGCAGTAAGCCATAATCATGCCATTGCACTCCAGCCTGAGTGACAGAGTGAGGCCTGGTGAAAGATAAATACATAAAAGTAAAATAGAAAATGGATGTGCTATCATTATGTTACATTACTGTATAACCATATAGTAAAGAAACAGCCCTAGAGACAGAAACCCAGTGCTGAGTCGCAGCTCTGCTACCTGCCTGGTGTGACCACCATTCCACCTGACCGAGCTGCTGTGAGGGTTATGACAGAAGGAACGAAAGCTTTTGCCTAGTCCTGACACTGGGTGAGCACCGACGGGGGTGCTTTTATTATTATTCCTTTACAATGGCTGTTTTTAGGCGGTGAGACTCAGATTTCTTTTCTTCCTTTTTATTTTTGAGTTGGGAGTCTTACTCTGTCCCCCAGGCTAGAGTGCAGTAGCATGCTTACAGCTACCGCATCCTCGACCTGCTGGGCTCAGGCGATCCTTCCGCCTCAGCCTTCTAAGTAGCTAGAACTACAGGCGCATACCAACACACCTGGTTAATTTTTTCATTTATCATAGAGATGAAGTCTCACTATGTCGTCCAGGCTGGCCTTGAACTGGGCTCAAGCAATCCTCTTGCCCTGAGCTGACCCAAAGCACTGGGATGACAGGCCTCAGCCACCGCACTCAGCTGATGAGTCGGCTTTTAAGTAGAAAGGTTTGAGCTCAGCTGGGCAACCTGCCCATGTTGCCCTGCCCTACTCTCCACACCCTGCCTCTAGCCCTGGATCTGGGCCGCTCCAGGCTGTCCTGGGGCCTCGGTGAGACCCACAAGCATGATAGACAAGGAATTGTGTGCCAGGAGCTTGAGGCCATAGGCAGGGCAGGAAATGGAAACAGAACCCCCAGGGCTCCCTTTGGGGCTGAGGTCAGGCCTTCGCTGGGGCCAGGGCTAGGGCCCAGTCCTGGGCATTCAATCTCAGCTCTTGGGTCTCTGGAATGAGGACAGGACCCCTCCCAATGCCTCTGGGTGTGTCCTAGCCCAGGCAGCAGACCCACAGGCTGTCTCTCTCGGGGCTGGCCTGGAACACACGCCTGCCTACCCAGGCCTGGGGCCAGCAGGCCAGAGTGGGTGCCATCTGGGACTGAGAAAGGACGGAGTCTGAGGAAACCTTACCCGGGGTCAGGTCACCTTACCGGGTCCAGCGAAGTCTCCCATGGCTGCCGTTGCCGGCCCCTTCTGCTCCTTGGGGATCATCCTGGGCGGAGAGACCCCCGAGATGAGCCAGGCTGCCTCCATGTCTCCCTCGACCACCCCCTCCCCAGACATCCCCCAAGTTCCTGGCCCACCCCGCCCCAGCCCTAAACAGCCTTGGCCCACCCAGGGTCACACACAAGGGATATCTGAGCTGGAAGGGCCTTTGGGGTCTCTGAGGAACCTGAGGCCCAGGGAGCGAGAGGGAGGTGCTCAAGATGACCCTCGCTGGTGTCCGTGTTGCTAGGGAAGCACTGTCTCTTCAGGGATGGCTCCTCTTCCCCTCACCCCTTTTCCTCCTTCTCCTCCACCCCTGCTTGCATCTCACGCCACTTTCTAGGAATCTTGGAAGAGATTTACAAATCATTTTGAGGTCCAGAGTCCCAGAGAACCCCAACAGGCCCCAGACCAAGATCCCCAACTTACTCCCAGGAGAAGAGGCAGAACCCTTGGGCTCCCTGACTGACCGCCTTCCCTGACACCCTCTCTTTTGCTTCTAGGTTTTTCCAAGTAGCTGGAACTACAGGCGCATACCAACATGCCCTTGCTTTAGAAAACAATCTGCCGCCTCCGCGTGTACCCTCCACACCACCCGGTGCCCTTGGTCAGTGAGCACTCAGCTGGGTGACCAGGCATCCAATGGCTGGCCCTGACAGCCTCTGTAGCTGTGAACAAGGGGCTCTTCAGCTCTGTGTCTCTATAACATAAGGGGCATTGGGCTGAATTATGGGGATCCGTGGTTGGGCTGGAGGGCATCCACAAGCCCCCAAAGCTGTATGCCAACACGAGAGTGTCTGCGTGCACTTGGGGTGAGGGCCGTGAGGTGACTGAGAACACCCGATGTGACCGTGCAGGGTTCCACAGCCCGCAGACCTGTCTCTTGATAAACATGCTCCTTGCAGAAATTCACAGGTGCTGGGAGGCTCCCTCACTTACAGACAGGAAGGCTGCTTCCGTCTGCTGCTTAAAGATTCTGGTCCATTTCCTGTCCCCATCTCTAAGCCTGGCCACCTCTCCCCATGAATGAGGGTAGCCTAGAGCTTGGGGTCCTTGCCTCTCAATGCTGGAGCCCAGTTTCCACAAGGCCCCAACCTTCCCAGATCCCACAAGCTCTCATGAGGCCCTAGCCTCTCCGGCTCCCATGAGACCCCGATCTCCCAGATCCTCTGTGGGGCCCTTCCCTCCGGGGAAAGGGTACCCCCCAAGTGTCTCAGCTTCCCTAGGATCCTGGTACCTGAGAGGTGGGACCCACAGTGATGAGAAGGGAGAGTCCAAGCCTCAAGATGAACCCCTCTGTCAGGCAGCTGAGTTGAGTGGTGTCCGTGTCAGCGGTCAGTGGGCAGAGTGTGCCCTGCTTCCTGCCCTGGCTTCAGCTGACGAGAATCGTTCCTGCCTTGTCGTGGGTCACAACCTTATTCCGGGCTGCAACGGGAGCTGGGTCCAGATGCTAAAGGCACCAGCCCCTTGGGAAGACAGGTGCCCGGCAGCAGGCCCTTGCAGACAGAGGGCTTGTACCCATGTGTGCACACTCACATGTGCACAGGCCACGTCACCTGGAAATGTGGAGGTCAGCTGCTGGAAGCTTAGCTCGTTACCTGTGTATCCTCATGCCTAGAACAGAGCCCGATAGCAACTCAGCAGATATTTGTTGAATGGATGGATGAATGAATGAATGAACTGCCCCTGCATCTTCGCTTGCCTTAGCTTTTCTTCCTTCCTTTCTTCTTTCTTGCTTTTCTATCTTCCTTCTGCAGCCTTCCTGCCTGTCTCCTTCTCCCCCTCTCCCTCCACCTTCTCACATTCCCTGAGCCTCTCTCTATGGACTGAAAATAAATAAGGCTGGGCTCTGTCCTCAAGGAGTCGGCCAGGTCAGACTCAGCTCGTAAACAAGCTTGGGGAATGCTCTGGGACAGCCCGGGGGAGGGAGTTGCCAGCTCAGCCTGGGATGCCGGGAAGGCTTCCCAGAGGAGGAGGCGTTGGAGTTGAGACTTGGAGGATGCTTGGGAGTTTGCTGGGCAGAGAAGGGGCACAGGTATAGCTGGCAGAGGACGTGGCATGCATAAAGATGGCCGGGATCAGCAAGTAGAGCCAGAGCTGGGGGACAGTGCTGAGAGATGAGCCCATACAGATGGGCGGGGGCTGGATTCCAGCAGGCCCCGCGGGAGGAAACTGAGTTTACAGAGGACTGGTGATGTGGAGTGGTCGGACTGGCATTTTCCAAAGATCTTTCTGCTGCCAGGTGCAAACCGCTTGGAGGGCCCGGACTGGAGGCGGGAGGATTTCACTGCCCCAGGTGAGAGAGGGGGTGGCTGGGCCAGGGCAGGGACAGGGGATGGAGACAAGCGGAGTTGAGGGGTGTGTGGAGAACTCCAGGTCCTGGTGAGGGATCGGTGTGGGAGGCGAGGAGGCGAGAAGAGGAGGCCCACTGCCCTGTTTCTGGCCTGGTGACTCAGGCAGGGAGGGAAGGACAGGACAGGGTGGGGCAGATGCTGAGTCCTGTTTTGGATGAACTTGGTTTGATTTGAGGTGTCTGGGGACCAGGATGGGATGACCAGGGGGCAGCGAGCCACGCACTCAGGACCCAGCTGAAGACGAAGGCTGGGTGAGAGGTACTCACCCCACCCGGGAGGGTGGACCTGGCAAAGCCGCTGGGTCCAGGGTGGGCACCTGTGTCCCTATATCGGCACAGACTGTCCTGGGGGGACAGAAGCCTGAACTCTGCTATGGCCTACCCTGTGCTTCGCCTCCTGTCCCCCAGTGGGGTTGGGCTTCCAGGGAGGAAGAAAGAGCTTGCTCTCGTACAGGCAAAGGACACTCCTGGCACCAGAGGAGGACTCCTGATGGCCTGGGTCCCGACCTCGTTGGGACTGCCTGGACTTGGCTGTGACCGCTCACAATGGCTCCTCTTCCTATCCTGGAGTGCCAACCTGCCACGAGGAAGCAGCCCCAGAGTGCTGGGTCCTGACCCAGCTTGGCTCTGCCCACTCTGGTGACAGTGCCCCGTGGTCAGGGTCTGGACAAAACCACCCTGAGACTTTACTTAGCTCAGCTCTCCCCATTATACAGATGGGGATGCTAAGGCTCACTCAGTATCACCAAGCTAGTCAATGACAGCAGGGATTTCTGTGGCCTCAAGCTTTTCTGCTGTCCCCATCTCTCCTATGGCTGTTCCTTCCCAAGCTCCCACCCCATGTGTATCCCATATTTCCAGCCACCCAGGGTCCCACAGACCGTTCCATACTCAGGAGAAGGGAAGGGTGTCAGGCAAAGCTGAGAATGACACAGGAGGCAGGAGAATGCAGGAAGCATTTATTGAGGCCAGAGCTGAATTCTACAAGGGCAAGAGGAGGGCACAAATGAGCCTGGGGGGTCAGAGAGGACGGGGGGAGAGGAGAGGGGTATGGCAGCAGAGAACGCTTGGGAACCGCGGCTGCCCAGGGCTGCCCCTGCTGGACCCCTGGGAACGCAGGTGGAAGCAGCAGGTCCTCTATGCCACTGCCCCGCCAGAGGCCCGCGTGTGTCTCCTCTCTGGGAGGGTCCTTGGCCGCAGGCTTCCACACTACAAGGGACCCTCAGCAGGTGGGGGCTCTGGCCAATGGGGTCACTCATCATTAACTGAGCAGGGGCGCCCTCCAGCTTCCCACCACCAGGAGCTGTGCCCCACTTCCTAGGCCCCAGGAAGGCTCTGGCATCATTCCTTTGTTCCAAAGCACCCGGCCTCAACCCTGACGATCTTCCATCCTGACCCAGACTTTCCCTGGCCTCACTGGGGGTTCCAGGCCCGCCTCCTACCCCGATGGCTGGTTAGTCCCCACATTACATGGTCCCCTGCCTTTAACAACATCCTGGCAGCCTTTCCCTGCATACCTTTGCCCCTCAGCCAGTGCCAGCCCCCAGTGTATCCTGAAGCTGATATCCTGAACCTCTAGGCCAGCCAAATCGCTGCTGGTGTCCCTCTTGGGGATTGAAACCAAGTCACCAAGGTCTAAGGGACAGGCGAGGGCCTGCAGCCAGGCTCCCCAAGGTCATGAGCACCAGGCATTAGCTAAGACCAAGTGCCATGGGAGAGAATGGGTGGGATCGTGTCCACTCTTCCAGGCATGATATGGACCCTGGGACTGAGGGTTGAAATGGAAGAGAGGAGCACTTCCTAGAAGGCCAGAAACACAGGCAGACCCTGGCCCAATCCCTCACCCACCTGAGCTCATCTGCCCCTGAATTCAAGCCCAGTCAATCCTCCACCACCTGCCCCCACTTCCTAAGACCATGGAACGCATTCCAGGACTAGAAGAGCCCTCAGAGGTCATGTGAGCCAATCCCATGCCCTGCTAGAATCTCCTCTAGGCATCCTGGCCATGCCATGGATTGCATACTTCCCATAACAAGGAACTCTGTCTCCCTCTCTCCAAAGAGCAGCCAGCCCCAAACTGGGAGCCATCAGGTAGAGCCACGGGGTCACTCCATGTCTCTGTCCCCAGCTCAGCTTTGAGCCCAGAACCAGCCATGTATGGGCCCGAGGGGACAGATAAGGCCTGGAGAAACCATCATCTTAGAGTGCTCTTCCTTATCTGGCTACGGATAAGACGCTGGACAGCCTGAGCTGGGTGGAGAACGCAGCCCCACAGGGACTTGGGGAGACTCTTCCTGCCTCTTCTCTCCAGAGGGGACAGCAGGGCACCTTGAGCTGGCCTGGGAGACCTCTCTAAAGGTCACCGTGGTAAAAATAGAGTTTGTCTGGGAAGGGATGGAAAACAGCTGCTCCTGCCGGGGACTTGGTGCCAGGGAGCCGGACAGTCAAGCCAGGGCCTGGCCATGGGACACAGGCCCAGAATCGCCTAAGCAGCCCGCTTGCCAGACTCCAGAGAACAGAGCCAGAAGGGGAGGGAGGAGCGTGGCGACCCGGGCGCGGTCAGTCTAGGGGCCATCTGCACAGCCCCTGGCTCACCCAAGGCACGCGTGTGGTGTGTGTGTTGGTGGGAGGGGGGATTTCGGTGTTTGGAGATGGCTTTGGCCCAGGCCACGGTGAGCAGATGGGGAAGCTGAGGGTCAGACGGAGCAGGGTCTTGCCAGAGTCACAACACGGGACAGAGCGGGGGAGGACTCCAGCCTGGGTCCCTAACCCTCCCCAGGCCCAGAGCTGCCCTGCCCTGACCTCCTCTCTCTGGGGCTCTCCAGGGG